CCTTACTTCTATGATCTAAAAACTGCCATTGTCTTGTCCTAAAAAATCAGGAGAAACCTGCAACCTGAGAGTTATGTTACTGTGGCACCGGGGCACCTGCCTGTCAGAACAGAACATTCTGCACACAATGTTAGTCTTCTTATGTAAGCTACAGAGAAAACGAGGCGACTTGAAGCATACATCTACCTGCCAAACATTTTCCTAGACATCAAAGAAGGCACTTGGTTTGTCAGCAGTTCATTGCGTACCTAAATACCATTTAATTTTTTATTACAAATTGAATCCCCACAAATTTTCAGTAACGTTGTAGACATGAGCTTGCTGACTGAGAAATTCTTTATTCTTAGCTTAGATCTGTCATATTAACTCCAATCTATGTAATATTTTTTATTAGACTGAACACCTAGACATTGCAGATTAATTTATCAATGTTTAACATGTACATGGCTTGAACATAATTATTTATTGTCCACATAGATACCTTTAATAAAATATCCTTCATTATATTATTTTTATAAAACTAAATTATTTCCCATTTCCAGTATATTCCGATTATAAGATGTAATATATTTCCTGTCATAGTATATCCCTTTGAAACTTAATTGATGCCACCTACACATCTTGAAAACCTGTTAGAAATTGTTGATGATAGTTCTACTATATGCTACTTAATGATGTTAATAATTAAGTAGCATATAGTAGATTATTAAAAAGGCCCAAGCGGGCCCAGTAACGTCTCCATTGGAGACTTTGTTGTTACTGTGTCTGGCATATCGAATACTCTCGGTAGCTTGCCGGGCTCTCCGAGAGGGGGCAGTTATTGTACTATGATAAAAAGGTATTTTGATTATTAGTTGAATTGTGTCTTTCCTAAAAGAAGATAGTGTGGTCCCAATTTCCAATAGATAGAATGTGACCTATCTTAGAAATATCAATTAAATATAATTAGGCTGGAGCGATAGCACAGCGGGTAGGGCGTTCGCCTTACACGCGGCCAACATGGCCGGCCCGAGTTCGATTCCTCCGCCCCTCTCGGAGAGCCTGGCAAGCTACCAAGAGTATTCGATATGCCAGACACAGTAACAACAAAGTCTCCAATGGAGACGTTACTGGGCCCGCTCGAGCAAATCGACGATCAACGGGAGGGCCTTTACCTTTACCTTTTACTGTAGCACTGTCCCATTGATCATCGGTTTGCTCGAGCGGGCACCAGTAATGTCTCCATTGTGGGACTTGGTTACGGTTTTTGACATATCAAATACACCATGAGGAGCTTTCCAGGCTCTGCCGTGCAGGCAGGATACTCTTGGTAGCTTGCCGGGCTTTGAGAGAGGAGAGGGATGGAGGAATCGAATCCGAGTCAGCCACGTTCAAGGAAAACGCCCTACCAGCTGTACTATCACTCCAGACTATGGGAAAATTCCTGTGAAGATAGGAACAGAAATAGGAATTATGCAGCTACAAACCAAGGAACCACAAGAATTAACACCAGAAGCCAAGGGGAAAGAAATGATTCTACCTTGAGTCACAGAAGTGTCATGTTCTTCCAGGATTTTGTCTTGACACTTGTTGTCCCACAAATTTCTGTTTAAAGACATCCCAGAGCTCTGGGAAGTTAATACAGAATACACCAGCAATTTTTCTTTGGTTGATTTTTACTCAAAGAAATGTGGGTCTAGTATGAGAATGCTGATCCTTCAAGAAAGCTGATAGAGAAGAGGATTAAAGTCATAGATTATATTTCATATGATTCCAAATGACTTAATATTTACTTAGTAGACTCCCATGTAATCCCATCAACATCCAAGACCCAGAGACTATAAAACCCAGCTTCCAGAAACGCACGGCTGCATTTGCGGCCCTGCACAACGTTCTATTATCTTATTCTTACTTTGGATAAACTGGCAGGCTACCAAATGTAACCTGCCCACACGGCAGAGTCTGGCAAACTCCCCGTGGCGTACCCAGTATGCCAAATACCAGTAACAATGATGGGTCTCATTCTCCTAACCCTGAAAGAGCCTTGAATATGGCACTTTTTAAAAAAATCAGGGCTAGGATGAAGGAGACGTTACTGGGGCCTCCTCGAGGCAATCGATGAACAACAGGTCGATTGTGATTGTTGTGATTGACTCTCATGGATAGAAAAAGCAAAGAGTGGGGTTAAAGAGAGAGTATAGCAGTAGCAGTTAAAGCACTTACCTTGTACATCTAACCGAGGTTCCCACACCAGAACCCCATATGTTCCCCAGAGCCCCGCCAGGAGCGACATCTGAATGCAGAGCCCGGATTAGGTCCTAAACACTGCCCTGCCTTGTTCTCCCCTCGAAAAATTTCATCTAATTTCATCATTATCACTGTAGCACTGTCCTCCCCTTGTTCATCAATTTGCTCGAGCGGGCACCAGTAACATTTCCATTGTGAGACTTGTTACTGTTTTTGGCATCACAAATACACCATGGGGAGCTTGCCAGGCTCTGCCATGCAGGCAGAATACTCTCGGTAGCTTGCGGGATCTCCAAGAGGGATGGAGGAATTGAACCCGGGTTGGCCACGTGGAAGGCAAATGCTCTACCTGCTATGCTACCGCTCTGGCCCAATTTTATCATTAGACTAAGTTAAATCCTAATCACTGAATATTTGGTGCCATCTAAGCTTCTAATTTTGATTACAAACTCGTTTTAATATCAAGATTAAACATAAAGTTATTCCTTCCTCAGTATGTGAGAGCTGCTGCTCTCTTCCCCATGCCAGTTGCCTGAACCATTCCTATGGGGATATAAATACCCATACAAATTCTCTATAAGGTGTCACTATATATCTCTTCTTCTGATAGCCTCTTTAATGTTAATTTGTTTGTTGATATGTTTTTCAGCCCAGTGTTGTTATTTATTTCCTTGTACGCAAACATTCTTACAACACTTCTTGTGGTTTGTTTTTGTATTTTGTCTTCATCTGAATATGTTTTCTTGGCATCTAGTCTAATAATCCATGTTACTACGTAACTCATAGAAAATTGATCTCTATAATATTTATAGTGAATGTGTGAAAGAAGTTGGTGTACTGATGGCATTTGTATTTAGGGAAATCTGGAAGATTTTCTTTCCATGTAGAAGTGCGTTGTCTTATTTGTGTTAGATTTCAGCTGGGCTTCATCTCACTAGGAGTCACACACCTCCCTCTGGTGGCACAGACATAAAATTCCCCATACTAAATGCTTCAGGATGTTTTACCTTTTTCAAGTTTCCCAGTCTTTTAACGAATAGCATAAACTAATGTAAAATTTATTTCTGAAGACTCAAGTCAATGGATGGCGTTCAAAATATAGTGGAAGGGGCTGTGGAATAGTAATAGATGGATCTTGAAAGCAGAGGATTGGTTCAGTAACTCTCTAAATGTAAAACAACTTCAATAGTATTATAAACAATGGCATCTTAATTAAATTATACTTAAAGTAAATAATTAGTGGTTTTTAGGAAGTTAAACTGTGTCTCATTTATTATTAAAAGTCACTAATAATCATTCTTATGACAATGCAAATGCTATTTGTGGGCTAGCTCTGAGGTATAAACTACACTCTTTACATACTTGAAAGCCTGGTTTCTTTGCCAAGCACTGGAAAAAAAGAAAGGAAAAGAAGGAAAGGCGAGGGGAAGGGAAAAGAAAGGAAGGAAGAAGGAGAAGAAGGGAGAAAGGATGGGAGGAAGTTAGCCATTTTCCCCCATTGCCATAAAAGGAAAAACTAGACTGTATTTTGATTTGTTTCATCTTTCTCAAATATTATTTCATAGTGATTGACACACGTAAAATTCTAAAAATTAGTTTTTTGCTCTATGATTAATTATTTAATAAGGAACAAGATAAAAATGGCTAAATTGAAGATAGTCTTGCTTTACTTTCTCTAAATTTATCAAACTTATTTCTAACATTGTATTTTATTTAGACTTATTTTTGTTGAGTTTATCTTCCTTATCAACCAATACTGATATTAATTTCAAATGCATAGAATTGAGATTATTATATCTTTTTTCTAGTACGTTAGAATGCTTATAAAATCTGAGTACATAATTTTGGTGAGATTTCATATTAAACTGATTTTATAAAGAATTCATTCAGTCAAAATACCTCTCCTTTTTCTCTCTGTCTCTGTCTCTGTATCTCTGTCTCTCTGTCTGTCTGTCTCTGTCTGTCTCTGTCTGTCTCTCTCTTTCACTCTCTCTCTCTCTCTCTCTTTCTCTCCCTCCCCCCATCTGCCTTCCATTTGTACTACAAAATTACAGCCCTATACTAACCCTAACTCTGCTTCCAAATACTTCTCATCTCTTCAAAACAACAGTTGGGACTCATATTTCTTTGTGGAAAATGATAAATCTATCAACCCTGTTTAAACAACCATTTCTTTCATCTTTTGTTAAATCCTACCATCTAATTAAAAGCAGCCCTCTTTAAAATAACTCTAATTGAAATTAGTCCTGGGTTCTTTATCACTTAGCCATGACTTCCTGATAATGTGATGCGTGCTATAGCAAAATTTCTAATCTTGTTTTGCTGATTTTTATGAAGACCTTTATATTGTTATACTGCTATTTAATTCTAGCCAAGTCATGTTTATTTTATTTTTTATATTTACTTTTGTATGTCCCAGCTATCTCATTAACAATTCAAATGAATTAGGATATGGATCAAGTTTTATTACATAGTTCTATATCACCTGATATTAAGACCACAACATATCCATTATTGTCAATTTATTCTATATATATATTGGATTATTTATAGATGCAGACTCTATCTCTTCACAATTTCATTTCTTTCATATTCTTCATTCATGTGACTGTTTCATGCATTCACTGACTGTTGAATTCACTGACTGTTGTTTACTGTCTAGCAAAATTCCCATTTTGGGAAAATGAGGAAGAAAAATTTTAGGTATAATAAACTTATTTCCAGAATACAGATGTGTTACTATACTAAAAATACACGGTCCCTTTCTTTTCCAGAGGCGAGCAGCTGATAATTTGAGAAGACATCACCAATATCAAGTAAGTCACTCTTGCATTCTTTCTTGAAATTCACATTAAAATACCATCCCCTCTTCAAAACTGACTAGGGAAATCATATTTATGCATTGAATCTCAATCGTATTGTTTTTAAATACCCCAGGAAGTAATGAGGAACCTGGTGAAACGATACGTTGCTGCAATGATCAGAGATGCTAAAACTGAAGAAGGCCTGACTGAAGAGAACTTTAAGGTAAACATTTCCATCTTTATCCCCAAAAGGCAGCTCCTATAAGCATGAGATCAGGCATTTAGTGTCAGTGTTAAGAATACAGCCATGTGTTTAGCCAAAACTCTTTTTTTAAATTTTTTAATTAAAACCCCATTGGATTATCGGGGTGGGGGGGAAGTGAAATTTCTTCCCAAAATATATTTTTTCAAACAGACAATCTAAAATGTCAAAGGGAACTTATTTAGAGGCTGAGAAAATCTTATTGCTTTGTGGTAGTCAGATTTGCTGATCCCAGCAACACTCTACTGAGTGAGCAATCATTTTTTTTCTAATTTTAGATGGATTTACAAACTTGAAACACCCCTAACTCACAGCTCATAATAGCAACAATATCACACACCTGTACACTCTGCACAATTTTGAGAGCAGAAATCCTACAAGTCTGAAGTTGCCTATAATTTTAAAGTCTTTCTCCTTGAGTTGTTTCTTTGTTTATTTTCATTGGCTCTATCGAAAGAAAAAATAGATGAGATGTGCAAAATAAATGTCTATGTCAAGAATATAAAATAACTTTGTTAGGAAAACAACAGGTACAACAGAGAAAAACAATAAGCAGACAAGTTAAAGTTATTGATAAATATCAAAAAGTCAAGCACAAGTGGAAAATTGGTTATGATGCAAAATGTTCTTCGCAACCCACAACTTCTTAAATGATTCGCAGTGTTTGAAAGATGAGTTGGAAGTCGGAAATAAGTCACCCACCAAAAAGATCACCATCAAGTTAAGATTTACACTCAGCTGTTTAGATAGATTAGAGAAAAGAGGAAATTTGAGACACGCTTCCTTTCTGAAATCCTTGACAGGCTGAGTTTATTGTACCAGATGTGGGTAAAATCAACTCCAAAGAATTTAAGCAACTGAACAAAAAGTACTATCAACTCTGGGAAGGTTTGACTCCATTTAGTTTTGTTCTAAAAGCCTTTTGATCAGCAAAATGAGCTAATAGACGAATTCTTTAAAAATACATTTCTGAGAAAACGAGAGGTAAATTGCAAACCAACAATTAACCTGGAGAGGAAGCCTTTGAAATTGTAGTTCCAAGAAACCCAATAAACATAACGATTCAGCAGCAGAAAAGATCTCTTTCTGATATTTTCCATTACCCTTAGTTAGTCTTTTTGTTACTACAGAACTCCCAACAGAGAAATTAGGAGGCATCAAAATGACCCAGTTTCAGGAAGAGAGCTGGCAGTTCTAAATACAGCCAGGGCAGAGCAGAATCCTTGCTCTGCAAAATGGGAAAAAGTGAGACCTATGTTTAAATAGAGCAAATGGTGCGTCCTGGGAATGGTGAAGACACTCATTCCTCCTTTTTCTTTCTTTCTTTCTCTCTCTCTCTTTTTTTATTTTCAATTTCTCTTAGGAACTAAAGCAAGACATATCTAGCTTCCGCTTCGAAGTTCTGGGCTTACTAAGAGGAAGCAAACTGCCTACAGTGCAGTCCGCGAAGGAGTCTTCTAATTCAGCCGACTCCGATGAAAAGAGTGATAACGAAGGTAGTAGTACGGCCAAGAAAAAGAACTTCAGCCTTTTTGATTTAACCACGCTGATTCACCCGCGATCTGCAGCGATCGCCTCGGAAAGACTTAACATAAGCAATGGCTCCGCCCTGGTGGTGCAGGAGCCCACTCGAGAGAAGCAGAGAAAAATGAATTTTGTAACCGATATCAAAAACTTCGGGTTATTTCATAGACGATCGAAACAAACCGCTGCCGAGCAAAATGCAAACCAAATCTTCTCTGTTTCAGAAGAGGTTTCTCGTCAACGGGCTGAAGGACCACTGGAGAGAAATATCCCACTGGAATCTGGAGGATTAGCTTCACGGGGTGACTTGAGCATCCCGGGGCTCAGTGAACAATGTGTCTTAGTAGACCACCGAGAAAGGAATACGGACACCCTGGGATTGCAGGTAGGCAAGAGAATGTGTGCGTTCTCATCAGAGAAGGTGGTGGTGGAGGACACGGTTCCTATCATACCAAAGGAGAAGCATGCAAAGGACGAGGACTCTAGTATAGACTATGACACAGTCACCCAAGAAGATTATGTGACCACGAGATTGTGATACTTGAAGGAGGAAGCATTTTATCGCACATATACATAATTTCCATAGCTCTCTGGGTAGGGGGAGCTCTTTAAAAGTTCATTAGCGATGCAAAATGCCACTTTATAGCAGTCATCAACTGTGATATATTAACTTGTAACTGTCTAAAAGGCGAAGGCTACCATCAGCCCATGTTCTGTAGCCGCTTTTCCTGTCACGATGTGTTTTACAGAGTTTTTTCTTTTCTTTTTGTTTTTGTTAACAAATAAATGCACCTTGTATTCTTGTACTGTTGCAATAATCCACAGGAAGTTTTTAGCTATCTTTTTCAATTAAAACAAATGTTATTTATTTCATCTGGAAGTTGGCTCCAATTATAGATATTTTTATATGCAAAAAATGTAGTCAAAATATTAGAGCTTTTCTTGATTTACAGGGAGGGGGGTCCTAGAGATTGTTACTCTTCAAGAATTTTTCACCCACCCTTAGATTTTCGTGTTAAAACACAACCACCAAATTATTCCATAAGAACATGTAAATATAGTACACAATTAAAACAAATAGACCTTCTCATGTAGACATGATCCAACTCATTTTTAAAATGCAGGTCAGATTTTAGTTTTCCCAGAGCTTTTCTTCAGTAAGTAAAAGAAATACTTTTAATAAATTTTGATGAAGACCACATTTTAACAACACTGTGCAAAAAATGGTTGTATTTCAAGTTTTTTAAAACTTACATTTTTCAGGTGTAAATGTTAACCAGTATGTGAGGCTTTATGAATGACTTGAATTTCAAAAAAGTGGCAAAAGGTTTCAGTGTAAAAGTAATAATAATAATAATAAATACCATAAACAAGGGGAGATGGCTGTGTTATTCTGATGGTAATACATTAATTTTAACAGTCTAAATCTAAGCAAAATTAAATTCTGATTTCAATCTGTGCAATATTTGTTGCCAATTCAAAAGAACTTAAAAACATAGTCGTTTCGCTCTCTTTCCCTTAGAGCCTAGGATATATTTAATTAAAATTAAAATCACTTTATTAATTGTAGTAGTAGATACATGGTGTTCTCCATGGGGCCAGCATACTTGATGGTTTGTTTATTCTATTGTTTTCAATGTAATTTAGCTTTTATTACTCTCATCCACTGAACCATTTCAAGGAAGTTTTTTTTTTACAAAAAACCATACTGTCAATTTTTTTTATGATTTACCTATGTGTCTATTTAAGCTACTATGGAAATAAGCTTCTTCACTGCATTCAATTAGCATTTATTTAAAATAAATACATTTTTTAAAGATTGCTTCTTGTTTTACCTCAAAAATTACCTCCTTTAACCTGAAAATTCATATGCACTAACACTGAAAAAAACTGCATGGCATTACAGAACCCAGGTTTCTGATTATTGTACATCAAAAATGTAGGGATAGTGCAATAACAAGGCACACCCATTTTCTTTGTGCACTGCGTGTTTTAGCACCAATGTACTTCTCTTAACAGCCCTCTTTCTTTTCTTAATCTCCTGAGGAATCTGAGGCATGCACTAAGTAGATTAAGGTTGGCAACTAATGATGACACTCTGATATGGTGTTAAGGTGAGGCCCTTAACCACTGCATCACACTAGCTCCCTGACATTCAACACAACCCAACTCACAGGGTTTAGTGTTGCCACTTCTGAAATGCTGTACTTTAAAAGAAAATGGATTTGAACAACTGTAAATTTGTGTCCTTTAAAAGCAAGAAATAATGTGCAAAATTAAACATCACTGGTTTAGATTCTTCAGCCTTTAATTGCATCATAGAGGATATTACATTTCGAATATGAATTTGGCACAAGATCTCAAAATTCAGCTTAAAATATTAGAGTTCAGTTTTCAGAAAAATCAGAGACACTCAGTTGCTCCTCTTTAATCTGTTTTATTTTGAGATTTAGTAATGGCCCAGGTAGACTTTAGAAACTCATGTCCTAATGAATGTGCTTATTGCTTCAAACCCATCTTGAATCTCAAGCCCACATTCAATCTCTAATGTGTTAGCAGTCCAAATCAGCCTTGGGAATCATAAAATACTCTTGTTCAAAAGTCAGACATACTTAGGAAATTGTAGACTCATTTTAAGTACTCCTGAGTATTTTACATATTTTAAGGGTGATTTTGCTTCTTCTATTTGCTTATTTTACAATTAGTAATATGTATATAATATAATATTTACATATAAACATATATCCACCATACATAGTTTATCAGAATTCAATTACAATTTTTTTCTGCTCTTTCAAACAGCAAAAGAACATTACGAACAAAATGTTTATCAGACTAGCTTCTTTACATCATGAGCTAGGGTGCTGATGCTTTACAGGTGAACCTGGTGATAAAGAGGGATTTATTGGAAACTAGTGACAGCCTGCATTTCAGCAACTCAAAAATGATCGTTGTTAGATATCACTGACACATGCTTTTTTCCAATCATAGTTAGTAGCACATGTCCTAAAATTCAATATTATTCTAAATGTTAATGATGTTATATAACATTGATGGATGTGAACAGTTGGAGAAAAATAAGGAAAAGCATGACAAGATTTCAGGTAAAGCAATGGTGTCTTTTAATGAGTCTTTTAAATGAGTACTGGTGTCTTAAATAAGTAATTTGGAATTTCTTTCTATTTATATACTTATTTCAATCAACATAAATGCCTAAACTGTAGAGAGAAGTGTGACATGCTTTTTTTTTGAAAAGTTCCTTATGTGTTGTACTTTGCTAACTTTATTTATTAATTTATTGTCAGGTTGGGTAGAAAAATATCTAGAACTTTTTATTTAAGTTTTATATAACTTAAACTAGATTTGCAACATTCTATTTGTTATAGATATATTTTAGAAAAGCTAATTACAAGAAAGAATGTTATAACGATGTACCTAACCATTCATCATAAATGAGTTATACCTATGTAAAGTATGTAAGTTTATTTATATTAACTTCAGTAGGAAAACAATGCACAAAATATACAGTAGTGAAATATTTTGTAAAGTTTTCTAAAGTGATAATCCTCAAAATGTTCCTATTAATATATTAGATATTTGCATATCAGATTTTCTTAAATTAGGTATTTTATTTATTGGTTAGAAATTAAAATACTGCAAAAAATGTTCAAGTTCTTTTTTTACCTGTATAGCAAACATAACTTACTTTAATAATGAAACTCACAATCTAAGAAAACAGTATTTCTTGAATGACAAAGTATCAATAAAGATATTTTTCAAGAATTAAAAAGAGTAAACTTACCTGCCTTTTTCAGAGAATCAGGCAACCCCACACTAATATGGACAAAATAAAAGCAGTGATGATATAAAATTGCACTTTTCTCAGATTCAGTAATTCTGGCGTTGACTTGACTGAGTAACAAACTTCATGACTTTCCAGTTGGATAGCAGCTATCAGGTACTAAAACATGCTCATTCTTAGTTTTTGTGCTTCATGTTTGAATAAACGTCTGCGTTTTAGACAGCTGCCAGTTCAGATATTTCCTGCAGTATTCGTAAAAATCCATCTAGAAAAAGGTTGATTTGTCTTTCTATTTGAGAGACAAATGAATCTTTTGTAATTAAAAAAAATTGTTTGATTCAAATAAAATTTAAATCATTTCTTTGATTCAAATTTTTAAGAAATGTATGTTTATATTTTATTACTAAAATAATTCTTTAGTGGTTGGAAAAATATTACAGAGGATAGAGTTCTTGCCTTGCGTATAGCCAATCATTGTTGAATATGCAAAATCCCATAGGGTCCTCCAAACACCTCCAGGAGTGATCCCTTTATGCAGAGTCCCTTTATGCAGGAATAAGCTCTGAGTATTGCCAGGAGTGACCCCGAACAAAGAAAAATTAAATCTTCAGTTTGACTTTATTGTATTATTTCTTATATTCTCCAAAACTCAGAACTGCCATAAACCACAGTGTATAGAAACTCAATGTTTCTGGTTTTCTTTAAATTCAACTTCTATATGTTGAAATGAATTTTGTTTATATAGTGTTACAATAAGACTTTCAAATATTTTTATAGCTGAAATAAATAACCTCCCTATAAGTAACCTTAAAAATTGAATATCAAAGCATTTATGATAAGCATTCAAATGTACCCAACTACTTCATGGTTGAGTTGCAATTTAAAGAAAAAATCTCCTTTTCTCTTGATAGTCAGATGAGAAACTGGATTATAAATTGTCTTTTTAATGACTTTAACTTTTGGGTAAAATTTTGTCTGTTTTGCTTTCTCCTCAGTAAAAGATATTTATAGTTAAAACTCAGCTAAATATGCATAGTTAAAATGTAGCTAAAATTTAGAATAAACATCATATCACCTTCTTTCCCTAAAAATTTGTGTTCACAGATTTTTTTTTAAAAAAAGCTGGCTTCTTACTGTTTTCTAAAAATACACTTCTCATCATCTTCACTTCAGCTATAGATTTTTGAGATAATTTTATAAGCACAGTGGTAATGATAAAATGTATTAAATAGTATTGAGGCTCTCAACAGAAAAATGATAGAGCAGGAAAAAATAAGAAAAACTGAGTCAAGATCCAAACCATGGACCATGGATTTTGTCACTGAGCTAACAAAAGAATGTTACTCCTTCTGTTCAAATTCACCGATGGCAAAGCTATTAGTTTCCTTTGGAGCTGAACTGTCTATAATAAACGCTGCTATTCACATTTGGTTACTAGCATTCGAAATGTAAAGAATCTGAATCAAAAGATGCACTGTAAAGTACACAGTATTTTATAGACTTAGTATGAAAACCATAAGCGATCCATTAATATTTATATTGATGACATGTTGAAATGACGATATTTAGGGTGTATTAGGTTAAAATATACAAATTTAATTAATTTTATGATATATTTTTACTTTTTTATATAGCCATAAAGAAATTTTAAAATATAACTGTGACTTGCATTTGTAACTTGCAGATCAAGTCTATTGGACAGTACTTTCCTGGAGTGTCTCTATTCCATTAGATTTATGCATTCATCATCTTATTTTCGTAGGAAAACATATATTAAACCACACAAAATGTATTTGTATGCTTCAACTAGAACTTGTCATCTCTCCTTGATTCACAGTCTCCTAATGGAATAACTGGTGATAATGAGTTTTTCCCCACATTTTCCCTTGTCTTTGCATATATATCAATATAGAAGTATACATGCATATGTGAGTTAATTTTAATTGTTGCATGCAGGATATATCATTGCAGCTGTAATTAAGCAGTTTGGTTTTTATCTAACAGGGGATCCTGAGAGTATTCTCAAACTAGTAAATGTACATAGCAAAATCATTAGCCTCCGTCCAAAGAAATTCCTTATTAACTCTTGAAAAGCTACTTATTGACACATAAAACATTGGTTGTGGTTGAGTTACACATGGCATTTATAAAAGG